GAGGCATATTACTGCCATTTCCAGGTTTAAGAATGAAAAATGTCCCTATGATGCTGCTGATATTTCACTATGTGGGTGACAGTGAGGAATGCTCATTTTTCAGGAACCTCAAGGTGAGAATGGAAACATCTCTTCCTATGATGCCATTACCACCTTCTTATGATGTCATTACCACCTTCTTATGATGTCATTACCACTTCCTGAGCAGAGGTAGAATTCAGCCAGTTTGGACCGGTTTGGGCGAACCAATAGTTCAGACGATCAGCTGGCCCCGTCAAGCCACCCCCACCTTATCCTGTCCTTTATTTCCTGCTTTCTAGCTCATCTCAATCACACGGCACAACTGATTTCCCCCCTTCGCTGTTCTACTTATTGTTGCTGACTTGGAAGGTAAGCAGCTGAGCTTCTAAATGCTCCATTTTCAGCGTGAGGTGTGCGCTCACCAAATCGGTTATTAAACTGGCAGCATCCCACCACTGCTCCTGAGACTTCCTGGAAAGTCAAGAAGCTGTACTAAAGCCACAATTCCTCGCCCTCCAGCATAGCCCTCCTTATACATTTCAAACATAGCAATTGCACTTAGACTTATATACCACTTCAGAATGCTTTACAGCACTATCTATGTGGTTTATAGAGTCAACATATTGCCCCAACAATCTGGCCTCTCATTTTTATCAACTTTGGAAGGATGGAGCTGGTCAGGATCGAACTCTTGACAGTGGGCAGAGTTAGCCTGCAATATTGCATTCTAACCACTGCGCCACCAGGGTCTCAGTGGATAAAATGGCCTAGCTGGTGCAGCTCTTTTTGGTTCTTGTCTTTGGGGTGGACAGATGGCAGACTACCAAAAAGAAAATATGCTCAAAAGCATGAATAGTACCTACAAAGGGGATTTCAAGAGTCTTAATTTAATAGAATAGTTGAAATTAGACGAGTACTAAGGGACCATAAAAGCTTGCATAATTAAAAATCTAGCAGTTAGGAGATGAGAGTAACAAAAAGCAATATGAGAGAAAAGAAGAATTGAGGGGCTTCTTTATCTATACAAATCACATTACAGGAGACACAGAATTGCTTTTATTTCATATACTGTGAAACCTCAATGCAATAGTCCATTTGTGGGAAGGGAATGTCCATTAACATGAACATCAGTTTTGACTATTTATATCATCTGTGTCCATTGACATCACTTGTATAATTACATAATGGACATAAATGGGATCATTTGGAGTAAAACCTCAGTTTGACAATCACTAGAGGATGAAATTCTGAAACAAATATTTGTCCATTGTAGCCAAATTCCATACAACTAAGGCCCATTAATCTGAGGCTTTATTGTATTTATACCAGTCAGTACTCATCGTAATTATAATCCTCTAAATATGTTATTGTGCAGGAATGGAAAACTCTGACCTTGAAATGGGACAACTCACTACAGCCAACTCACCACGGCCAACTCAACATGGCCAACTCACCGCAGGACAACTTGTCACTGCCAATTCGTTGCAGAACAACTTGCTGTGGAACAATTCAAGCATTCAATTTAATTATTTAAAATTATTTAAAAAATTATTTTAACTTTTGTCATTCACATTTCATTTTGTCCCTCCTTTGGCATCCCTTCTTTAATGGTTCTAGTCCACCATTTCTTTGATATTAATGTCCTGTGGTGGGTTGCCCCATGGAGATTTGGCCTTGGAAAGTTCTGTCATGGCGAGTTGGCTCTGGCAAGTTGTCCTAGACCCATCTAACTTCCCCCCCCCAAAATGTTGCTGACCTGCAGCTCCTCTAGGCCATGCTAACTGGAACTGCTAGAAGAGTCTATGGAATGCTACCATTTTCCAAATAATTCCATAGTCTTTGTGCTTATGTCCATGTCGTGTATTATGGATTCTGTTCTGCAGGATCTACCTTTAGATAACTCTCTGAAATGATATAGAAATCTGCCATTGGATACTAAGGATACAATTGATATTTTCTGTGAAACAAGACTTCAGAATGGCAGGAAAGGGAATTCTGAACAGTATCCGCTGATACTCGTCATTCTTTAATAACACAAGCATACACCAAAAAGTGTGTTATGCAAATGTGCATTATGAATCTGAAAAAGAATGTGACACATTATTTGGGAATTTTGTGAAAAGATAAATATTTCCTCAAGTTGAGCTGAATACCTGGGGATTTCTTGGACACATCCATGTAGTTTTCTTGGCAACAGTACAGAATTAATTTGCAATTGCCTTGGTTTTAACTTTGCCATCCTAGGATTTCTGAAGGTTCCATTTAAATACTAATTAGGTACAAGAGTGTTTACATTTGGAGATCAGCTTCATCAGCTATTGTTTTGGTCTAAAAATAGCAGCACCTCTCTGGTTTAAGATCACAGTGTATCTATCCAACATAGCCTGAAGTTGTAAATTCAGTCCAGATACTTTTCACATACACACACACACACACACACAGAGAGAGAGAGAGAGAGAGAGAGAGAGGGAGGGAGGGAGGGAGGGAGGGAGGGGGAGAGGGAGAGGGAGAGGGAGAGGGAGAGGGAGAGAGAGAGAGAGAGAAACACAAAGGGAACACAGTGGAGCAGACAAGTGAGTAAATGTTCAAAGAACAATTGAATCAAATTCCAAGGAACTTTTTTCCAGCCAGGAATTTTAAGGGTGGGGTGGGGCAAGACAGCCCTTGATGGACCACCATTGTTCCCAGCAATGTTATCAAACCTAAAACTCCATCTGATCACTGACCTTAATGAGATCTGGCTCCTTTCAATAGATCGTTCTTCATTGGTTCAGAATTTACCTGCCAGTGTGAATCGGTGGAACAGCTTGCCTTCAGAAGTTGTGGGTGCTCCATCACTGGAGTTTTAAAGAAGAGATTGGACACTCATTTCTCTGAAATGGTACAGGGCCTCCTGCTTGTGCAGGAGGTTGCACTAGAAGACCTCCAAGGCAGGGGTGAAATCCAGCAGGTTCTGACAGCTTCTGGAGAACTGGTAGCAGAAATTTTGAGTAGTTCAGAGAACTGGCAAATACCACCTCTTGCTGGCCCCAGAGTGGGGTGGGAATGGAGAGTTTGCAATATCCTTCTTCTAGGAGTGGGGAGGGAATGGAGATTTTGCAGTATCCTTCCCCTGGAGTGGGGTGGGAATGCCCACCAAGCCACACCCACCAAGCCACACCATGCCCACCAAGCCACGCCCACAGAACCAATAGTAAAAAAATTTGGATTTCACCACTGCTCCAAGGTCCCTTCCAACACTGGTATTCCATTGTTGTTGTTATTATTATTATTCTGAAACCAGAGCAGTTACTGTATATCTGTCCCTATTGAAATAAAACCAACTAAGTTCAGTGAGAGTTTCCTTCAGATAAATCCTTACTGAGTTTGCACTTTGGATGCCACAAAAATGGACATTAGAATTCATTAGAATTCTTTATTGGCCAATAAAGGTGATTAGACACACAAGGAATTTGTTTCCGGTGCATAAGGTCTCAATGTACATACAGCAATAGTGATAAGCAACAAAGTTATAGTCATAAGAAAATAAGGAGATAGGTAATAGGGAAGATGCAAATAATGATGGTAATACTGCCTTTTTAGATAGTTAGAAAATGTTTATACATTTATACATGGGCAGAAATGGATAAATTAACTCTAGAATTAAAAGACAAGGAAGACTCAAAATATTTTATAGTATGGAATAGATGGTATAAGTGGATAAACCAAAGGAAAAAAGGGTAAAGATAAGAATTAGGGGAAATTCAAGCAATAAAGAATGCACCGTCAGATAGATAGAATAGGTAAATAAGTCACTGTTTGTATATATGTGTTTATATAATCACATGTATTTAGTTTGTTAGTGTAATTGTGTATTGAAAATGTAATTTTATGATTGAGAAAATTTGTATATTTTCTCTTTTTTAAAATATTTTTAAATTTAATAAAGTTTGTTTTTTAAAATTAAAAAAAAAGAAAATGTTGTGGGAATTAGTTGTTTAGCTGAACGATGGCATGGGGGGGGGGAAACTGTCCTTGTGTCTATGCCAGTGGTGAAATGTAAAATTTGTTACTACTGGTTCTGTGGGCGTGGCTTGGTGGTGGTGGGGGTAATGTGACAGTGGGTGTGGCCAATTTTTTTTTTTTTTTACTTTTAAAATCCTTTTTTCTACAACCTCTTGGCCGAAGAGGTTGTAAAGAAAATGCTTTTAAAAGCCTCTGACAATCCCAGCTGAGTTGCCTGATTGGCAGAGGCTTTTTTTCTCTTTTAAAAACATTTTTTAAAATGCTTTTTAAAACCTCTGACGATCCCAGCTGAGCCGTGGGATCATCAGAGGCTTTTTTTTTTTTACTTTAAAAGTCATTTTTTCGATTGTAGAAAAAATGCTTTTACAAATTAAAAAAAAAAAGCCTCTGAAGATTGCGTGGCTCAGCTGAACATGGGGGGGGCAGGGATTTTTGCTACCGGTTCTCCAAACCACCAGCCTCCTTCGCTACTGGATCGGGTGATCCGGTCTGAACCGTGAGCATTTCACCCCTGGTCTATGCCCATTGAAAATATAATGGCCAAGACAGATAGACCAATGACAAAGAAATGTCTGTGACTTTGGGATAGATCTCTACAAAGAGGAAATGTGCTCTTTACAGCACAGACCTAACAGTGTTGTTTTTCTCTGTCTTCCAAACACTGCTTTTGTGCCTATTTGATTTGGTGAGGTGGAATCCAGTTAAGCTGAAAGCAAACTGCCTCTGTCAACTGTGATATACTGACAAAACAGACACCTACTCCTATCATGTGGCCTAACAAGGGGCAATCCTTCAAAAGGAATGTCCACATTCCTCTCAGTTCTTATGAAAATAGATTCGCTGAAACCTCCCACCTGCTTTGCAAAGCTCCAGTTTTCAAAAGAGCGCAACCTTTTCCAAATGACCACTGGATTGTCTGGTGCACAAGAAAACTATCTCCAGTTTTGTGAATATGGAATTTTATCTGACAGATTTCACTGATGCGTGAAGAACCTGTCTGAAAAAATAATACACTCTTATTAACTTGATCTTTTAAAACTTGGCAGCTGAAAGCGTATCTTTAAGCACGGACAGTCTGACTTGCTGAGCCAGTTTTTTTTTCCCCCCCAGTAATAGAGCTTAAAAGCTTCGGCAGTGATCTGTTATTCTTACAAGAGACAATACAGCTCCCAACAGGCAGAGAACAGAGGGAATTAATGGATTGGAAAGTCAGATTCTAACACATGAGCTCTCAAAAGTCTCTCTAGACCAGCAAACCGATTGTGCATATCCAGTAAGTTGCCACTTTCAGAGTTTGTATGTGTGTGATACCATCAAGGGAACTGAGAACAAAGGTCAATCAATCTGCAAACCAGCTCCAAGAAATGCAGTACCATTTATTTAGGATATACAGAGACATCCATGAAATACATACACACACCACACAAAAACAGCCTCTTGGTTTAAAGAAAAGGAGAATAAGAAATAAGCAAGCAAGTGGACGTCAGCAGAGTTCAAGTGCTCTGCTGTTCAAACACTTTTGATGGAACCCAGATTCCATGGAGCTGTAGAGCCCTAGAAACAAGATTCCTAAAATTGCTTTAAGTTAATGACTTGTCAGTAAATTGATTACTTCCCACCTGCTCTTTTCTAGGCCTTTAAAGAATACTGATTTACTTTATTTCACTTCCTGGCTTTTATATTTAATTGATTGTAGCTAATTCCACTTTGAAAAGCTCCTCTGAATCCATTTCTACTACAATATAAATGTCACACTCATAGATAGGATGTTTCCACCTGAATGTGTTTGCTTTTGGCTAAATAATATGCTTTCAAGAACCAGGTGGAATTGAATAAAAACACACTGCCTTATTTGTTTGGGGAGAGAGAGGTGCTGATTTACACTTACTCAAGAGGCATAACTGGAAGCAAATTATTGCTGAAATTACTCCTTTGTTCTGCACGTTATTGATTTGTGGTCTATACATATAGGAAAGAAACCGGCAAGTGATTTTATACCCTGCTAATAATTTATATTTGAGGTAAAGCTGAAACTTTCCAAGAAAGGAGAAGATATAACTGATCTGAGCTAAGACATAGTTTCCGGTTAGGGTTATTATGTGCATATTTCTTCCATTTGAGTTGTCTAGGGTAAATCAAGTTGGTTTAATGCAACATTGTGGTTTGAAATAAAATCAGATCCATTTGATTTTTCAACCATTCAGGGTTATGTTATCCCTTTCCATTTGACAATTCAGCTCAGTGGTGATACGACCATCTCTTCCATTTGGAAAGTCAACTTGATTCAGAAATTTGATCATAATGACTTGGGATTAAATCTCTGAATAATCACAGAGCCGATTTTATTTTATATATGGTCACTCATCTTGCCCTAAATTCTAGGCAGCTCACAACCAAAAGATAAAACCACATCTATGTACAATAAAAAATATTGAAACCTGTCAACAGTGACCTGTTACCATAGTTAAACTCTCCCATTTGGCCCACAACAACTGCATCTCATAAAGCTCACCCTATCCTAGTGCTTGTGGGGGAAAAGCAACCTTTTGTGTGCCAGATCTTTATGCATGACTAGACAAAATGTCTATACACACTTTTACATATATACCCCTCCCCTTATAATCCCATTCTCAGACACTTCAATTTACTCTCTCTTTTGCCTCCCTCTTCTCATACATCCACAAGAGACCATAGGATGCGGCTGCTAAGGTGCAGCCAGCAATCTGGTCCCTGCAAATCAGGTAATCAGATGGCTGATAGGATCACTTGATGATCTGCCATTAATAGCAACAGAATGTTACCAAACTCACTTCCTTCAGACCAAGGAAAGATACTAATCTAGAGGAAAGTGGGTTGGGCTTCTTGTAGCTAGCTCCAAAGACTATATTTTTTATGATTTGGGATCACAGATGGCCCTAGCACCTTCCCACTTGTGCTACATCCAAGAGGGATAAAAAAAAATTCTTCCATGAGCTGATTTTTTGTTTGTTTGTTTGTTTGCCTCTGAGAGCTACAGGGGCCACTGCCAGTGAAGCAAGGATATTATTAGAGACATCTAGGGGAGCAGGGAAAATGGAGCAAGGGTGCCCTAACTTTAAGCCCCAGGAGCTTAAGGTTGCTTTAGACATTTGTTTGTTTGTTTGTTTGTTTATATTAATATTTATGCACCCATCTCATTGTTACAACGACTCTGGTTGGGTATTAGCAAGGATTAGCTTCAGGGAAATAAATTGAGCCTTTTTATTTTTACTAATTTCCAGAACCCTGAAGCCAACCCTCGCCAATACCCAACCATACGCCTAACAATGAGTTGGGTGTATATGGATTTAGGATGATGTAAAGGAAGTCTTAACTGCTACTTGCAAAAAACTAAGAAGTTACAATTTCCATTGCTGCCTTCTGGGTTACTTAAGGGTTGAGGATGAGAAATGCCATGCTCTGGGGAAATACTGTGTCAACCGTTCCATTAGCATGTACAGCAAAAGAAACTCCTGGCACGTTTTTTATTACCAACAGTAAAACTTTACTGACAGATCCATATAGACACAGAAGAAGCAAAGCCAGTTCTAAAGTTTTTGCATGAAGCACAGCATAGTAAAAAAAAAAACTTTTTCCTTCCCTGGGCCACCCTGTGTCCGCTGTCTACCAATCCAGGTTAAAAGTTTTATTTTGAGAAAACAGTCTGCACCTTTCAAAAGTCTTCAGCATCTGATCTTGGGGTTACAAGATTTTCTCAGGCTGAATTCCTTTTCTCCCTCCCAGCTTCCCACCCATTCCAATCATACCCATCCTCCCTCCCTTAGTTTGTCAAGTTGCAAGTGGAAAGAAGCGCCTTACGAGTCAACCATGATATTCTTTCTCTTGCCAATCCTATACCAGCATTCTTGCTAGTGAAACTAGGGGAACAATTATCACTAATATTTGGAGAAATTCTTACATCATTTCTGAAAAGTGAGTTTCCCCCATCTCCTTTTAGCAGCAACAAAAGCATTGTGATTGGAAAGACCCCACTGGAAGTGCTTCCTCGTGTTGTATTCTCTTGGGATTTAGTGTGGGAAGCCAGAGATGATGGAGAAATTTGTAGACAATGAAGTACCTGGATGATGAACCCAATTAAGCAAACATGAGTGAGATGATCCAATCTCTTAATACAATCATTTATTGAGTACATCATTTCAGCACAAATTAAGGCAAAACTAGCTCTGGCTAATTCCCACATAATCCCATATAGCTAAAGTATGAAATTCCCCCTCTCCCTGTTTGTGTAGGTCACATTGTCCAATTGAGTGTCATTGTATTATTATGAGAAAGCCTCTGTGGGTTTCTTAGCCACCTGGTTGAAATGTCCTTGATTCTCACAGTTGGTATTTCTGATGTCTAGAGACTACATTCCATCTCACCCTACCCTCCCCCAACCTCCTGTAGTTCATTGGCAAGCTGAGAAGTGATAGTAGTTGCAACAGCAGCACCAAACTTTGAACTTGACAGGACCATTGTTCCAGGGCACAAATCTAGACTGGTTAAGACCAAACATGAGCTAAGGTGTTAAAAATGGCAAGTTTTAAGGATTGCGTATAAGTGGATTAAGTTGCTTATAGTCTGGCCCTCTAGAGAAAATTCAATCTCATGAATATGTTCCTGCTCTCATATAGTCCTTTAATCCTCAATTTACAACCATTCATTGTAAGTTATTGTTGTTTCCAAAATAGGCCCTAACCTGGCGCCAAAGCCAATAAAGAATACCAGACACAAGGAATGGCATTTTCAGCTTATTTTATTAGAGTACTCCAGCAAAAGACTCTCAGCAGCCAAGGGAGCCAAGACCCTGAACAATACACAAACACAAATTTTATACACTTATGATTAAAGAGGTTAATACCCTAAGAATCACTTATTGGTTCCTTGACACGTTTCTTTGCATTGGGTTCTTCTACTTTACCTTCCTTCATACTTCCATGTTTATATTAATAAGCTTTCTTATTAAAAGAGATGTGTCTTTTACTATTATAATAAGCTAGAAGTTACCAAAGTTTATGTATCTACATGTCTAAGCTAGCGCCCTTCTAACATGCCCTTCTAACTTGTAACTTTCTTGTAACTTTCTTGTTACTAGGCTGTACTTACACTCATCACAGCTGCAACTTTTTGCCTCAGCAATTCCTTTAACAGACTTTCCTAATTCCAACCTGAGACCATCATTACAATGGCAGTGAAAAAAGTGACTTATGACCATTTTCCACACTTACAACCACTACAGCATCTCCATGGTGATGTGATCAAAATTCAGATGCTTGGCAACTGGCATGTATCTATAACGATTGCAGTGTCCCAGGTTCATTGATGACTGATGAGCAAACTCAATGGGGAAGCCAGATTCACTTAACAACCAGGTTACTAACTTAACTGCAGTGTCATTTAACAACCATGGCAAGAAAGGTGGTAAAATTGGGCAAAATTCACTTAACAACTGTCTTGCTTAGCAATGAAAATTTTGGGCTCAATTGTGGTTGTATGTTGACAATGACCTATACTTGTAAAAAAGCTTGTTTCCCAACTGAGTGACCCTCCATTGGGCCTAAATCATCACCTGCCTGCTAGGCCTGGGACCAGATAGTCCTTTAATTTTATCTCCTGAATCAAGCCTTACGCCTTGGATCTTATACATGCTTCCTGTCAGCTTTGGAAGCCATATTAACCCCAGAAGCTTCCACACTGCCACCTTCTTGCACTTGGGAAAGTAGGAGGGGGGATTTAGTAGAGAGATTTTAGTTAGACATAATAGCATTCTTCTTTTTGGTCAAGGTCGTGATGTTCCTGTATCTGGAGGAGGAGTGATTGCAGTGGTGGCTCAAGTTGGGATGGATGGTGATTGGGCCATGTGATGGACTGATGGGTGCAGGGCAGAGGTGGGTTTCAGCAGGTTCTGACCAGTTCTGGAGAACCGGTAGTGGAAATTTTGAGTAGTTTGGAGAACCGGTAGTAAAAATTCTGACTGGCCCCACCCCCATCTATTCTCTGCCTCCCAAGTCCCAGCTGATCAGGAGGAAATGGGAATTTTGCAGTATCCTTCCCCTGGAGTGGGGAGGGAATGAAGATTTTGCAGTATCCTTCCCCTGCCATGCCCACCAAGCCATGCCCACCAAGCCACACCCACAGAACTGGTAGTAAAAAATTTTGAAACCCACCACTGGTGCAGGGGCTGGATTTGGGGTTTTGATTTACTGAGGGAAAACCTGAAATTCTCAGATTCAGGTTTTCCCAGATGTGCCAGTATACCTATTCCAATAAATGAAAGATTTGAGATGATGCTCATCTTGGAGTTTTTAATTGGAGTTGGGTTGTTCTGGAACGCTGACACTTACTATGTGACTCGGGCCATCCATTTTCATAAGATAGGTAAAAACTAACATTATGTTGTTAAGTTGTTAATACATTTTCCTCCCAGCATTTCAATGGTGTAGAAATTCCATAATGTTTACTTTGTCCAGCAGATTAAAAGAAGAGCTATGTGAAAAGTAAGGCGCTCTCTTTTTTAAATACATTCCATTTAGATCCATTGCTCTTCTCTGTGTCATTCTATTCAAAGGCTTTTAGGGACCATTTTAGTAGGAGGTAGGAGCCCGTGGCACTGATAATTGTCATGACTGAGAGTCATATGTATCCTGGATTCCTCCACAAGGCTTTTATTCTGTTTTATTCATACTTCCCTTGAACAAAATGTCTTACCAAGTTAGAGGGAGACTAAGACTCAGGCTCTGTCAACCTCTGAATCTCAGACTTAAAAGGAAGCAATTTAAGTAGTTTGCTAGTTTTCAGCCGAGATGGCATAATTTTACATTTGGACAAAATAAAAATAAAGGGGGGAGGGAAAAGTTTTTAAGGAGGTAGGGAAAAAAAATAATCAGGAATTGTTATTCTTCAGCACTTTAGCTTGTGAAAAGCTTGCTGAGCTGATGCACGATCGTTCAACCAAAGAAATCTGATTGGTGTGTGTCTCTGAGCTTCCACCAGATCAAGAGGTGTTTGAATTGCAACTTAGCGGGCTAATAACCACTTTGCCCACTTATCTCATTTTAGGCATCAAATCCTACAGTTATTCTGTCTCCATTAAAATGAAAGCATTTGCCAACCTGCTGTCAATTCCCCAAAAGAACAAACTAGACCAAAGTCAGTTTGACACGAAGGAGGACTTTAGCAGGGGGACTGAACAAGTTCAATGAGCAAGAGGCCTGAAAGAAAAAAGTTGAGCTCTGCACATTAATTTTAAGTCCCAGCAATGAAATTTCTCACGTAGCATCAATAAAGAAAAAAATAAACCTGCTTCATGCTTCAGATCAGTCGCTTGGTCTCAAAGATGATTTGGGGACTGGGAGCTAAAACATATGAAGAACGGTTGCGGGAATTGGGTTTGTCTTGTTTGGTGAAAAGAAGGGGTGACATGATGGCAGTGTTCCAATATTTGAGAGGCTGTCACAAAGGGGGAGTGGGGTCCATCTATTCTCCAAAGCATCAGAAGGTTGAACAAGAATCAATGGATGGAAACGAATCAAGAAGAGAAGCAACCTAGAACTAACGAGAATTTTCCTGACAGTTAGATCAATTACTCAGTGGAATGGCTTGCCTTCGCTGGAGGTTTTTAAGAAGAGACTGGACAGCCACCTGTCTGAATTAGTATAGGGCAGTTGTCGCATGCCCCACACCCATAATGCAATGTGCCCTTGACCCTCCTCCCCGTGCCCCACCCCCTGCGCATGCGTGCCCAACCCACACACACACTTTCCCTGCCCCCACGCATGCGCACAGGACCCCCCGTGCTCTCCACACACTCCATTTTGGGCCTAGTAGGCCTCCCTGCACTTATAACCCATAATGCAATGCACGCGTAACCCACGCATGCACATGCGACCCCCCCCCATGCTTTCCATCTGCCCTCCATGCTTGTGCGCACATCTACCACATGTGCCCCACTCCCCTGGCATGCTTGGCAGAGACCTGAAAATCAACTGGCATGTGCGCACATGCGTGATGCTAAGCTGGGGAGACAGCTCGCATGCCCACAGAGAGGGCTCTGCCTGCCATCTGTAGCATGCATGCCATAGGTTCGTCATCACAAGTATAGGGTCTCCTGCTTTGGCAAGGGGTTGGACTCGAAGACCCCCAAAATCCCCTCCAACTCTGTTATTTTGTTATTCTGCCTTCTTCCCCTTCTCCATCTGATTACACACAGCACTGTGGTTAATGAGTAGGACAAAAGAGCTGATATATATCAAATTATTACAAAAATAGAAAAGATTTCAGCAGCAGCAGCTTAAATGTATACTTAATCACAGGCCTCTCTATTTTTTTCATCATTGATATTGTAGATGTTATTAACCAAGATTAGACTAAGTTTAAGTGGCTCATTCAGATTAATAGACTGGCATTTAGTATGACTCAATTGCCATCGTTTCACAGTAGGTAAAACCAGTCAGTGATTGTTTTAATATTTAATCTCTTATAAATAAATTTCACCTTTGGTTCACACGCTGCACAATGCTGTAATGTGTATCTGTGTTTTTGACTTTTTGACTTTTGATTTTGAAGGAACTCAGTCATTGAGATTTGGATAAGTAATCCTCAGTTAAAGACAACAACTGGGATCAGAATTTCCATTGCTACAGTATATAATTTGGTCATAATATGTGACATCACATGACCATGCTATTTAGCAGTGGCAATTCTGGCATTTCTGGTTGCCATCGTTAAATGTATCACATGCCAATGTTAACGCACCATCCTCTCCCCAGGATACCCGCAAAATATTTAGAAAATGGACCATTTTAAGACCATAGTAAAGATTTAGCAATAGCACTTGGACTTATATACCGACCCATACAGCACTCTTTACAGCACTCCGAAGTTTACAAATATCAGCATATTGCACCCAATAATATGGGTCCTCATTTTACTGATCTTGGAAGGATGGAAGGCTGAGACAAAGTTGAGCCAGTCAGGATCGAACTCTGGTGTCTGGGCAGAGTTTGCCTGCAATACTGCACTTTAATTTCTGCACCACCAAGACTCTGGACCAGCTACCACTGTATCCCTCTTTGTCACTTATCACACTATCTTGTTGAGATGGCGCACTGAGTTAAGCCTCAATCAATTGGAGGAAGTAGAGGAAGTGTTGTGGGAGGGCATAACCTAGCTTAGATGCTGAGCACTGGCCAAGGCACATCTGGTGCTGGCAGAGAATTGGAGAGATGTAGGCAGAGGGGAAAGAACAGGGAGTAGGAGCTAATCTTGGCTGTCCTGGGCCAATGATCCAGGAGGCATTCTCTGCAAATCTCCCAGTTAATAATATTGATTAGAGATGGGGATACAGCAGTAGAAGAAGAAGAAGTGATGCAGTAGAAGATAAAGAAGGAGAGCAACCCTATTGTTCTGCCACTTTGGCAATCTAGAAAGCTCTGGCCTGGCTTTCAGGAACTTGGTGCATAAGGAGTTGAGTGGGATCAGTATCAATAGCAATAGCACTTAGACTTACATACTGCTCTATAGTACTTCACAGCACTCTATGAGTGGTTTACAATGTGAACATATTGTCCCTGGGTCCTCATTTTATCAACCTCAGAAGGATGGATGGCAAAGTCAACCCTGAACCCATCAGAATCAAACTTCAGGCTACACTGCACTACCAGGGCTCCTAGAAACCCAGGCTGTTGCATCTTATTCCAATCATACTTTGCCTCTGAGTTGTTCTTACTTGGGAAAGCAAGAAGGGTGAGGAAAGCTGCAGCTCTGCCGCTACAAGGAAAAGGACACCATCAGTAGTAAAAAATTTTTACTACTGGTTCTGTGGGCGTGGCTTGGTGGGTGTGGTGTGGCTTGGTGGGAGTGGCTTGGTGGGTGTGGCAGGGGAAGGATACTGCAAAATCCCCATTCCCTTCCCACTCCTGGGGGAAGGATATTGTACTATCTCCATTCCCACCCCACTCTGGACCAGCCAGAGGTGGCATTTGTCGGTTCTCTGAACTACTCAACATTTCCGCTACAGGTTCTCCAGAACCTGTCAGAACCTGCTGGATTTCACCCCTGGACACAATGTAATACACACAATACTGAGTGGGAGGGGAAATAGATATAGTAAAAGAAGGAAGTTGTCTTGGCTGGACAGCATAGTTACGTAATCGCCATTTCTGACCTTCCCTGGTAGTTTCCCCACTGACTGGTAGTTTTCCCACTGAAGCCAGCAGTGAAGGTCCCAAGTGGCTATCACATGACTGCAAGAATGCTGTGATGGCCAAAACATCAAGGATTGGTTGTAAGTCCCACTTGATCAGGGCCCTTATAAGAGTAAAGCTGAACAAGTGGCTGCGAAGTGAGTACCACTTGTAAATCTTGTTTTATACCAAAAGTAGGAAATCTAGGACCCACAGATGGCCCATACAGTGCCATTATATTTCCCAAATGGGGCCTCAAATTTGCCTCCCTCCCCATAAAAATAAATGGCCTAGCATTTGAAGGGATCTAAAATTATTGTTTAATCAAACAGCTTTGGTTAAATAAACCACAGCTTAGTATGTTATCTGGACCAGGTTAATAACTGTTTTAAGGTTGTCTGATTTTCCACTGATTCCTTTTCCCTGTGTTGGCCTCCTATTCTATAATACACCAAGGCAGGAAAATGTAAACCTGGATGTACCTCTGGAATGGTTTCAAACCTTGCTCAGAATGTCACAAAATTGCCTTTCCATTCAAAGAGACATTTCAAAGAGCCTGCAGGATGCACCCTGAATTCCTGATGGACTAATTTTCTAAAGTAGATGGAAGCAATACCTCTTCTTGTGCAAAACTGACTTTCTCCTTTGTGATTAATGGGTATATGAGAAAAATATTTAGAATGTCTGTTGAACCAGGTATTTCTGTTTTTTTGTCACTGTGGTTTTTGTATCCATATGAATTATCTTGGCAGTATATTGCCATTTTCCTAGGCCAGCGATGGCTAACCTTTTCTGGACCGAGTGCCCAAAGTGTGCCCAAAGCATGCCCAAATCCCCAAAATGCAATGTGCATGCAGACCCTGCACATGCCCCCGTGCATGTGTGCATGGGCCCACACACATGCCCCTATGCAAGCATGTGGCCCTGCATGTGGCCTGCCCCGTGCATGTATGTGCACCCCATGCATGCACATGCATGTATGCATTCTCCACATATGCCCCACCCCTGCACATGTATATGTGGCCCCCTGCATGTGCCCTGCCCCCCACACATGCATGGCTGAGATCCAAAGACCAGCTGGCCGGCGGGAGGTGCGCACGCATGTGCAGCGGAGCTGAACTGGGGTGACGGTTTGCGTGTCATTAGAGAGGGCACTGTGTGCCACCTCTGGCACGTGTGCCATAGGTTTGCCATCACAGTTCTAGGCTATGTAATCAAGTCACCACTGGCATGAGTGACAAGACAGGATTGTATCTCTCGGCCGTAGTCTCAACAACTCCAAAGTTTGGTGGGTGGTGAAATAACTGTATTCTTCTGACTGATAGGATTTCTAGATCAGCATAGAGATGCACCTCTGCTTTTCTAACTGGTTTTTAAAGTACACTATTTCCTTTTAATATACATATTATTTTCAGATCCCTCTATTGCGGTTGTCTTTCTACTGCTAAATGCCACATTAATGGCACCAACCAGAGACATAGAAAGGTCGGAAAGCAGAGGTAGGTTTCACATAATTTTACCACCGGTTTACCGCGCACCAAAAATGTGACCTGCACGTGCGGTTTGCACACATGCATACGGCTTAGAAAACATGGCTAAATAGGACGGCATAGTACCGGGATGGGTGGGTGGGTGGGTGGGTGGACAGGCCCACCCACAGTCACCACAACTGGTTTGCCTGAACCAGTCCAAACCAGCTGAATACCACCACTGCGGGAAAGGTTGTTTGTTGGGACTGCATCAGGGGTGGGTTCTACTTACCGTTACTATCAGTTCACAACGGGAGCGCGCGCTTCAGCGCATGCGCAGATTGTCAATTATGATATCCAGGCAGGTGGGCGGAGCCTTCCGCTGCTTTTACTACCGGTTCTAAAGAACCGGACAGAACCGGGAGCAATCCACCACTGGACTGCACTTGTACTTCAAAGGAATGCTTCACTTCAACTGAAGGCTTTATCAAACTATCGCTTCAAGTGCTTCACCGGAGAGAAGTGGCATACATAGCCCAGTATTTCTGCATCACAGAGTGGTTGTGTCACTTTGCTTGAGAATGGGTGGCTTGTGCACCAAAGACCTACATGCTAGAAGCGAGCTGGGAGGTTGAGGCAAACCAGTATTT